GGCGCCGCCCGCGGCGGCAGAGGCAGGCTGGCATCCATAATGTGGAGTGGAGTAGATCCCTTGGGTACAACTTTGATACCTGTTGGGTCTCGCCGAAATAGCATAAACTCCACATTGGTACGATATTGTCCAATTATGGTCAGACCCACTTGATTTTGCTCTTGGATTTCCCCGAAAGGCTCATATTAATAGATGAGTGATCTTTCTAATATTAAACTGATGTGCAATATTACAATGAGTAGAAGTATAACATTTTCTATACTAGCTACTATGAAAAGTGAAAATTGAAACAAAATTTTCGAATTTGTTCGATTTATATCTAAAGTTAATATTCTAATTTTGAAAACAATTTTTTTATTCTAGTTTCTAACATTTTGATTTAAATATTTTTGGACCAGATTAATTTTATATGAACCAAATTGATTTTTTATTTTAAAAATTACATTTGTACTAACAATTATTTATGTATTTTTATATTTTAGATGAATAAAAAATGTGACTTTTGAATTCTAGTGATATTTATTGTTATTATTTTAAATTAATATGTTCTATTAATTTACTCTTCAAAGACCCTTTAGTATCCTCAATCTCTGTAAAAACTAAAAAGTTTGTAGTGAAAAAAATAAAATATGGTTCATCCCATGAACTTAGTGGTGCAGACAATCTTAATTCTTATCCTATTTAAATAAAATCCAAAAAATAATTATAAAATGTATAAATTAAATCTTCTTGAAAAATTCAAAAATCAATATAAAGGGATCAATAAAACATTATTTATTATCACCAAACTCTTCGATGGCTAATTTACACTGTCAACGACAAAAGAAACGACCAAATCAACACCACCTTTAAGACAACCTCGTCTAGCTTCTTCTTCCACTTTAAGACAGTACTAATTACTATTTAATTAACCCAAAAAAAAATTAAAAGAGATAAAAGCCTAATTAAATCAGTAATTAATTAAAACACACGCATGCACAATGATTATCCAGAAAGTAATTAATTCCTATAATCACAATCCCCTGATTAATTTCCTCTGCGATGCTCCCCCTCCACAATACTTCAGGGAAAATCATCCAATAATTAATTAATCATATATCTTACTGATTAAAATATATTCCCGGGAAGAATTAAGCACAAATAATATATTTATCTATTTATATATATGGCATGAGCACTTCTTTCACTCAAATTCAATCAATGTGTTTGTTCGTAGACGACACATTCTCGATCGAAGATCAGCCGAAATATTAACTTCACGATTCTTCGACTCGATAATCCCCGTCTTACAAACCAAGAAGAATGTAATACACAAGTGTAATAGGTAACGCAATCAGCATTCCGAATATAACCCTGAAATTCGACCAAGATTATACATTAATCACTAATTAATCACATTAGCATTAATCAAGAGATTTAATAAAGCTCGGGTTGAGTTAGCTTAATTACCCGGTGCTTAGAATCGCAGGATGAACATTGTACTCTTTCGCAAAAACAAACGGAACAATCCCTTGTGGAAGTGCCGCCTGTCCGAATATAAGAATATATATATAAGATATATAATCCACATGTTAATTATTATATAGTGTAGAACAATATAAATATATGTACAGACACACAGTAGAACCTCGATAAAATCATTTTAAAAATATATTATTAATTAATATTTCGCTAAGTTAATAGAATTTTGCTGGTCCCTATTAATTCTAATTATTGGTGAGCGAAAGAAAAGGAAAAGGTGGGACCTGGACAATAGCGACATGGAGAAGAGTGCCACGAAGGCCAACGGCAATAGAAGCTGCAGCCATAACTGCTGGGCCAGTGAGAAACCTCACAGCCATGGCGAACGAAGCAACCGTGTTACCACATGCGATTATCTTCGGTTGAAGGGCCATAAAAAGACCTGTCCATCCAAATCAATCAAATTATTCAAATATTTATATTTTTCATTTATATAAATATGCACAACTTCAATTTATATCCCAACCACCTTTCGATACTAATGCTCAATATTTAGATACGCATCACCCGTCATCCAGTTCACGACCGCAAAGAGACACCGCTCTCGTAGGCCCCACATTCGTGGTATATTATTTATTGCAAATTATTTCAAAATATACACTTGGATGTTTTTAAATTTTATCGATCACCAATAATGAATGGTCGAAATCACATGAAAATAATTGACGGAAAAAAAAAATGAAATTATAGTGTTTGATAATTTGAGTATACTTGCCTAAGCTAAACATAGCCATTCCAAGACCGGCATCGGAGAGTATCCGGATTGACTCCTCGAGAAGTTTCGGCATTTGCACATGCCACCTGAAAACCGTACATTAGTAAAATATTTCTTGTTCAGTAATAATAACTAATAATAACTAAACCAATAATTAGTAATCGAATTATTTGATTTAGATTTACCTGAACGAGATCAAGGACCAAATTAGGCCGATGAGACTGGAGTAGGTGTTCGGGTTTCGGATAAGTTTACGCCAAACCATGATCAAGATTAGGCGTGTCATCACGCTTGTTGGCGGCATGTGTTTTCCGCCACCGGCCACCTTGGAGTCCAGCTCAGCATCGGAGGTGGGCCCCAGTTTCGATAGCCCGATTGGAGGCTCCTTTTCTCTGTCCTCTTCCCCTGCACCGCCGAAGCTGAAGTCCTCTCTACCAAGTTCCCCAGTTTGCGCAACAGCTTTTCAATAGTAACAAGAATCCCCACACAGACAATTAATCAAACACCTTGTGAACACAGTGTTTATAAACCATTCACAGGCAAATAATATGATTATTCGTTTACCTTTGGGTTCTCCATTTTGAGGATGATCGGGGACCAACAACCTGATTTCCTTTGCGCCTGGATCGGACCGGCCGGATTGGTCGGAAGCACCGTAATCAGGACCGCCGAAGACGTGGAGGCCGGCGGCTGCGCCGCCGGCGGCGGCGCCTTCAGACACCGGCGACGCACTTGAGCTCCATACAAACATGTGAAGCTCCTTGGCGTCGCTAGAAGTTTTTCCTCCGAGCTGCTGCGGCTGATGGGTTTTGGCCGTTTTGGGCATTGCCGATGAGATTTCAGGATTCGGAGCAGGGTAAGAACTCGGCGGCGGAGGCTGCGCCGGAAAGTAGCCGAATTTCGGTGACGTCATTAAAGCTCCGGGAGCGGAGTTCTCTTCGAAGTTCGACGGCCGCGGCGTCGGGCCCCTGGACGACTGAACTGAATACATATCAGCGACGTTGAAATTGGACAGCCTGCCGGTGTCGGAATTCCCGAAATTGGACAGCCTTCCCAAACCCATCATCGAGTAGAAATCGGAGTGGTTGAAATTCGAGCCTCTGGGGGTCGGGTTTCTGGACGAGCTCAGGCTGTAGATTTCGGCGCCGGTCAGATTAGACGGCCGGGGAGTGACGCCGGAGTATGACCCAATCCCGAACGACCGCCGCGAGGCGTTGGATTTCCTGACAGTGACGTGGAGCTTCCCGTCGTTCCCCAGCTCAGGGGGGGGTCTCAAGAAAATCCTGGCCGTCCAAAGAAACGACGTCGGACTCAACCTTGAACGAAACAATGGAGGCGGCGGTCTCCGGGAACTGCTCCATGATAAGCATCTTAGCGCCGCGGTACTCGAATAAAAAGAGGAGGAGCGTGTACCAGATGATGCACTGGAGCACCACCACCTGGACCATGAGGCTGCCGGAGTAGTCGCCGTACATGGCGATGAGCAACGGGATCCCCATCACGAGCGTGTTGGGGAGTGTGGAAAGAGAAAAAATGGTGATCGACCACTCGAGGCTGCCGTTCTTGCTGATGTTGGCCCACATCGCCAACACCGCCAGCATGATTATCTTCTGCAACGTGTCGGCGGCGACGAAGCGGAAGTTCATGGCGTAGATGTCGTTCTTGGAGATGAAGTGGAACGACAGTAGGGGCACGGCGAACACCGCCACGAAGCGGTTGATGCCGGAGCACTGGTCCGGGGTGAATATCTTCCACCACCGGACCGAGCCGTAGGCAAGGATCATGGCCACGTACAGAGGGATTACTGCCGTCAGCACTACGTACAGATCGTTCCAGCTAATCATGATTTTTTAATTTTCTTTTTTCACAGGCAGTTAAATCTGTTTTAATTTTGCTGAAAGATAGGATTAGTTATTTTGCCCTCTGGTACGTATACGGGTGTGTCTAGAGAGATAAAGAGATGGTGATGCAGAGTAGAGAGAGAAAGATAGGAATTACAGGGGAGAGTATATTTAATAGAGAGAGAAGATAATGTGTGTGTATATATATATATAGAGGAAGAAGATAGATATATAAATGGGACCAGTTGAAATGAACACATGTTTACAAGTGACGAGTGGTTTTACTTTTTATTTACCGCACATGTGATTTTTGGGTGTAAAGGTTGCGCTACATACACTAATTGATCTTTAGACGGGAGGTTAGATATTGCACCGAGTTATTTATATCGTGTATTGATAGGGTTAGATAACCACTCACTAAACATACACGTACATATGGGTGTGATATGTAAATTAAAAAAAATCATGCAGTATATTTTATCGGGTGTAGCAGCAAGTAAGCCTTTTCAGACAAATGAAATCATTCAGTACCCATATTACCACTTGCAAATTCAAATTTCGGAATAATACTACGTGTTACTTTTACCAACTTCAATGGAAGCTATAACAAT